GCAAAAGAGAAATAAAGGAAAAAATTGATATCATTGATTGGTAATTGATTTGTATATAATTGTAGTTTTTATATAGAAGAGCAAAAGAGAAAATAGAAAATTCTAGAATATTACAATATATCAAAATATTCCGAAATAATATTTCTATTCTTAATACTCCCCTCTAGATGGAAAGTGAACAAGGTGAACTCTCATATTGAACAAAAAAGACTAAAAAATATAACATCAAAATGAAAAAAAATTAAATGTCAAAAAAAAAAATTCTCCTCCTGAATGAGGAACAAAAATCAATAGTGTGCTAGAATGACACCGGAATGGACATCGGCAAAAGTAACTGAGCTGGAATAAATATCAGCAACATGAACATTACTCCCCTTGAATAGAGAATCAAAAGAGTGACAAACAATAGCAAATACCAACCAAACCATACCAGAAAAATAATGGAAACAAGATGAAAATGGCCAAAATACAAGCAAAAAACAAATACATATAAAAAATAACTCAAAATACGTGTGCTGAAAATGTCCAGACGACAAACCAAAAGAAAGCTTGAATGAGCTTCACTGGTGGTAAGAAACAGAGATCCCGCGAAGGATGGTGGCGGCACCAAACAAAGACAAACCATGACTGCGGCGGCAATATTCAACACAGATCTGAAACCCATATATGGGAAACCAAAAAACACAGACAAAATTAGATTCAGAAAAGAGAAAAAAGTAGAGGAAAAGGAGACGCGGCCGGAGAAGAAAAGACATGGACGAAAAAGATGCGGCTAGAGATAAAGACACTTCCGAAAAAGAGAAAGACACGACCGCAAGGGAAGAGATGCAACCGGAGAAGATGAAAAGACACGGTCAGAATATAGAGACACAAGAAAAACGAAACAAATTTGAGAGATATAGAATGGAGAAGCCTAATCTAAGGCTAGAATACGACTGAAAACCAAGATGATAAAAGTTTTGGCGGATTAGACGACACAGGCAAATAAGATGATGGCCTGGATAATATAGAGGAAGGGGCAAACACTATACAGTTGTAGGACAAAGATGAAGTCACGGAGAAGGAGGCACCAAAAAAAATGAAGAAAAAGGGAACAAACGAAAAAAAGAAAAGAAAAAGAAAAAGAAACAAAGAGAAGATAAAATGACGGCACGAAATCTCTCATGGAGGGTGATATCGCTTTGATATTATATTATAATTATGGAAAAGAGAAATAAAGAAATTTATGTGATAGGTTATTTTACTTTTTTTCTCTACCTATCTTTACCTATCATTCTCCAATATTATTATATCAGAATCTCGATAGAAAAGATAAATGATAAAGGCAATTAAGATTCTAATTTAACATGTTGAAGAATGATAGGTAAAGTAACACTTGTCTTGTCACATCTTCTAATCAAAAAAACGTGTAAGGCAAGATTGCTCACTCTAAATGAGATAAAGCTCTTCGATGGGACAATTTAGAGAGGCAGATCTTCGAAAGATTATAAGTAGAGGGGACTTAGCTTAAATATAACAAACCTATCATTAAAAGAAGACTCATTAAAAGTCACCGTAATTAATAACATCAATAGAGCCCTTATAATCTGTCATGCATTATATTAAAGTTGACACACTCTCAAAGACAAGACAACTTAGCCCGTTCGGATAGGGGTTTTTTTTAGCTAAAAATTGTTTTTTTTCAAATAAAAAAAATAACACTTTTACTGCAAAGTGCAAAGTCCGTTTAGATGTCTACTTTGAAAAAACATAAAAGTGAAAAAAAAACAACTAAAAATCTGTTCTTTTGGAAGCTAAAAATCTGTTCTTTTGGAAGCTAAAATTTTTAGCTTTTAGAAAAGTAGAAGTCAAAAATCAAATTTTTTTAATATTTAAATAATTTTACTTTTATAAAAAACACTTTTAAAATAAGTAAGACATAAAAAGTCCTCTTTGTACAAACTCATCCAAATGGTAAACACCTCACACAACAACTGAAAAACCTTTAATATATAATATATGGAAAAAGTGTGAATCATTTCAAAGAACACAAAGTTGTGTCATTTTAAGTTAGAGAAAAAGATAAATCATTGAAGAGAGTGAAAGGATATAAGGTGTGTCATTTAAAATGACATACCTTTTTCCCATAATATATAGAGGAATGATATTGTAACAATCAATTAGTGTCACTACTAATGTTACTACCATTCAATTTCATCGTTAGATCGATTATGTTGATCCAACGATTATATTTATTTCATTTTTGTATGGTTATGATTCCCCATATTTAATACTTTATATTTATTTTCACATGGTTATGATTTCCCAATTTTTAATGTTTTCACGTTAAATATAGAGAATCATAATCATACAAAGATCAAAATAAATATAATCGTTGGATCAATATAATCGATCTAACAGTGAAATTGGTTGGTAGTAACACTAATTGGTTGTTACAATATCCTACCCCTGATATATATACATTTCAAAGCACAGTTTCGCTACAAATATGCTTACAAAAAGTACAAATAATAATAGGTTTTATTAACCTCATGTTAAAGGAGATAAGTTATCTATGTTATAGAGACAAATTTGTGAACTCCACCACATGAAAAAATAAAAAGAAAAAAAAAGTGGCGCAATTATCGAAAAGTGTGTAAGAGGAAAAAATTATCTCATATAACATGAGAATAGTTTTTCCCATAATAATAATGATAATAATAAAATCTATCAACTTATCAAGAAGCCTACATCAACATGTTTTGAAAGCAGAAATCTTGAAATCCTTGCACCGTGTCAAAACGAGACAAGACATAACACAATATTTATCAAGTGTCACCTGGCATGATTAACTTATACCAATATAAGAATAATAAATCTTATATTAAATTTTAATATAAATTTTCATACATCTAACAGTTATAATTGATTGGATTACACCTATTAAATAATTATTAATTCTCAATAAATTATAATCGTTAGATACACAAAAATCAACATTTAAGATTTAATAAATCAACATTTAAAGTTTAATATAAGAATTATTATTCTTACACCGATATAAGATCGATGATCCTATATATATATATATATATATATATATATATATATATATATATATATGAGGTAGGATCCTTTAACATCAGAATTCAATTTGAAATTTGACACCTTATCTGAAAGCCATTAGATCAAAAAAGATCAATAGTGTCATATGTTTATAAATTAGAGCCGTTGATCTTTTTTGATCTAACGGCTATCAGATGAGGTGTCAAATTTAAAATTTGATACTGGTGTCAAATGATCCTACCTCTCTCTCTCTCTCTCTATATATATATATATATATATATGCTTATCATTTTTAAGCTGTTTGAGATAATTTTATCTTAAACCACTAAATCATAACCGTATAAAGATAGATCAATGATAATAAACGAAGAGAGAGAAAAAAAAAAATCATAACTATTCAAAGATGAATCAATTAATATAAAAAAATAAATAAACAAAACGACGTAGTTTGGAATAACCAGAGATAAATATATCTCAAGCAGTTTGGAATAAATCTTATATATATATTGAATTTCCTGTATAACAACAAAATAAGAAAAAAAATAACTAATTAATTTTTAACGAGCTCTTAATTATGTGATTTCATCGATCAACGCTAATAATGTCGAGCCTATGATACAAATGGCATTTCCGCCTCTGAAAGAAGACAAATTACAGATCCAACATCCCGGATCCCATTCTTCTTCTTCTTCTTTTATAACCAGTCGTAATTATTTTTTTAAGCCGAATTAGATCTCTACTGTGTTTCCACATGTTGTACTCTTTGAGCAGCTTAATTTCTCGAAAATTAACAAATAAAAATGAACAAATTCTATCGACAATCTAAAACTCTTCCAAAATATGTATCCTAAGGCGAAACTTAGCACTTGACAAATTCTGGAATTTGAATTACCAATGTTTTTTAATTTTTATTTTAGCTTTTGCGTTCGTAGAATTCTGCGTCCAAAACAATTTCAGAGGATGACTAATTACGTTAGTAGTACCGCGTGCACTGATATTGCTAATTATTGAGATTTAATTAATTCAAATGTGTGTATGTTGTTGCTCTGTGCTATTTTTCCAGTAATTATCTTCCCACTTTTCAACTCGCTTGATTAAATTGAGTTTGTGGCCATAAAATACCCTAAGCGATGTGGGGTCGAATGGAGGAGGCAAGGAGCACGGGGATTTTGTTGAAGGCTCCTTAACCATGGATTCAGTCATAAACTTCTTCTCCAACCCACTTCTTGTGCAGGCCATGTGCTCTGCGCAAAGCTCCACAGCTCCTTCAGGCACTCTTGGCTCAAACTTGAGGAGCTTGGAATATTCATATAGCAGATGGAACATGTAGTCATACACGTAATCCATGTTTAGCTCTTCTTGCATAAAGTTGCTCGCGGCTTTACCAATTTCCTGTATCTGTTAATTGGATGGAGATTACATGCATGTGGACTTTAAAACAACTATTGAAAGTTGAGTCAGATTGGCGAGCTAGACTTACCTTTTGCTTATTATTATTGCCCCAATCAACTGCATGTTTGATGGATTTACACTTTTCACTGTCCCGTATGGGCCAGTAATGCTGCAATGGCTGTAGGCTTCTTATGAAGAAATCATAGAAACGAGGCTTCACCAACAGCGTAGGGGAATCACAGGCTATAATGTATTTTTCACTGACAGACCACGCATATCCTTCAATATAAATCTTGTATCTGATTGGGAGGGACAATTATATATTATATTAATTTAATTATACATATAGGGTGATGAGTAGCACAAAATAATAAGTAATTAGAGAGAGACATGCAGGTGAAATATAACTACCTATATGTGCATTGGTTTGCCAAATCTGACCGATTGAATCCTTGTTGAGACTCTTGAATCCAATCCTACATGTTACAAATGTTGATTCCAGTGGAGGAAAATAGCATCATTTATCAGGGGAGTTATTGCATACATAATATGTAAGAGAGCTTATAATATGTGTATGTATATATACCTGCACAAATAAACGAGCATTCCAATCCTGCGTGTTTGAAACATTACACTTGAGGAGATCTTGCCTGGATTCATCAACAAAAGGGTTTCCCTTCCAATAGGCATATGGTTCTCTGTCATCCCATTTAATCCTTTTATTTCCCTTTTCTATATCCTTCAGCAGATGTTCCCAAGGCCTTATATTTATCTCCGCCCTAAAATAACAATTAACTTATCCATTAATTGAATGAACAGAATAACTTTCACAATAACGCAGCTTGAATGTGATGTGTGTATATAGTGACCTTGCATTATATAATGTGATGAATATGCTTAGCACTCGCCACTCGGACTCCAAGTCCAACAAAGTTATTGTATAGTGACCTTGCATTTAGTGAGTTGAAAGAAGAATTTAAATTCACTGCTGGATTTAGTATAATTTCTCATGGTATCAAACATAAGACTCATACATGTGTAAACTGTTATCATTTCTGACACGTAATTAGTTGACTTCTAATTTAAAAATAAAAAACTAAGGAATATTCCAACGTGATCAAGTGAGCTATTCAATTCATTAAAGTGAAATTTGTGGCTTAATTTTTTTTGGCACAAAATTCCTGCGGTCCAGTGGCAGAAAGATTCTCATAACATTTTCCAAAAGCGAATATAACTATTCATAACGTACTTAATTGGAAATGTACGGTAGGTCATACAAATGGGATATTGCCAATAAATCAAAAACCAAAGGCTAGCTGTATGTTTTGCAATTTGCATAGCCGCCGCCGCCACGAAACACTAGTATTCTTTCCACTAAAGTGTGCCCGTTTGGATGCCAAAAGCTGCTTTTTTTTCTACTAGAAAGTCCCTTTAGATGTGTAAAGTCACAAAATAAGTTAAACTTTTTTTTTAAGTTAAAAATTTTAGTTTCTAAAAAATATAAAAGTCAAAAATTAAATATTTTTAAAAAAATCTAAATAACTTTAAATTTTGTAAAAAAATACATCTAAAATGTAAGGCATAAAAAGCATATTTTTCATATCCAAATGGAACAATTAAACCTACCAAGCTCTGGTCAGGTCCACGCTGGTGCAGGCAAGTTAGAGTGGGGCCCTAACATTGATCACGCCTTAAACTTAATGGGGGAGGGAATGAATTGACATAAGAACTAAGAAGAATTGTGTGATTAGAATTCAGGGAACGTACCAACCCCAGAAGGACCAATCAGGGAACACAATGTCCGCCGTCCAACGATCACCGCAATAACGAAACAGAGGTGGCGGGCCCGTGATGTTGGGCCCACGGTAGTGGGGTGCTCGGATCACGGGCCTGTCATCACAGTCAAACATGAGCTCCAGGTCTGGCACTCTGCCAGGGTATCTCCTCAGAAGTTGAAGAATTCCCCATATCGTGAAAACGTCACGTGTCTGAATGGATTTCTTGTATTTCTCCACATACGCTCTTCCTTTCTTCACCACCAATCGGAAATGCGCCGTTTTCTTAGCTGTCTCCACCATCTCCCTCGTGATCCCTTTGTCCTGCCACACCCTCAGATCCTCGTGGATCCACCGGAAGTACTCCGGGCACACCGCTTCCTTGTCCTCCTCGTCCATTTCCAACGTTGTTGTTGTTGTTGGGTAATTTGTCGAACATGTTTGGTTCCCAACAACGCTACAATTGAGTGTGGCTTGTAACCTTTTCCTGGGTTTTTCTTCTCTGCTTTTATTATACTTTGCAAAAGCAGGCGCCACTAAGGTTTGGTTAGCATTGGCAATCGTGCTTTGTGCCGTGGGATTCCCGTTAGTGGTAGAAAGCGTAGGCTGCAAGATAGATAGATACCCAATTAGTCAAACGAAGATTGAAAGTTTGAATCAACCATATAATTAATTATATACATACAATAGCCTAACAAAAATTATATATATTCAATAACTGTAATTAACCATAAAGACAGTGGTGAGGGTTAACAAACCAACCCAGAGGGAAGAGAGGAAGACAGTGGTGAGGAGGATAAGAAGGAAAAGAAGAGAAGTGTAAAGAGCTGCAGGACCCTTCTTGAGGAGAGGGCGCCATAGAGTGGGCCCCGCCAATGGTTTCTTGGAACTTTGTGAAATGAATCTCTGCATATATAGATCCAGTTACGACTAGTGATGTCTTCTAAATTTGATGAAGGGAATGGTTCTGGTTCTGGTTCTGGTTGAAATGAAAGAGAAGACTAGAGAGAAGGGAGAGTAGTGAGTGATAGTGTGGAAGCGCTAGCTTATTTGAGGCATGAGGAGAACAATTAATTATGCAAAACTCTGACACCAAGAGTATCGATTACGGACAACAAACAATTATTGCACATGTAATAAGCAACAAATAGCAAGTTGCAATGATGATAGAGGGAATAATAGTTTAGTTTAATGTCAAGATGGTGGAAGCTGTTTCCCAGTTTGACAGACCACGCGGCCACGGTATTAGTCTTTAATTACTTGGGGAAGTAATCATATTCTCCATCTGGTTTGCGTTCCAAACCCTTGTTGTGGCGACTTAATCTTGAAAATCATGATTAAGATATTTTTACAAAAATAAAGAGCAATTAATTAATGCTTTTGTTGGTTACTGTAATCAACGCAAGTCATTTATTTTAAATTAATGCTTTCGGTAACGTACGTGTGCGAAAAACCAGAGAGTAAATTACTTTAACAGAAATGTTAAATGATTATCTTAATAATCATCTAAAGCGTATTTAGTAATTTCAGAATTGCAAGATTTTCCTTTTAATGTCTTTTTTATTTTATTTTATTTTATTTCATTTAAAACAAGTGATTTTAATGTTGTTTGGTATTTTTTTTGTTTTAGAAAACTTAAATATCCCATATTTTTAATTACTTTAAATTTTTATGTTACAGTTTTATTTCTTACCTTACAAATATCAGTTACTCAGATTCCCGAAATTTTTTTCTTAATTTTTCTTTTTTCAGTTAAATTTTTTTCTTTCTATTCTTATATTTGAATTAAATATAATATGCCATTAACAGTCTAATCTCTTAATTAATCTACTCTTCTTATGCATCTTTTTTCAATATTTTAATTAATTATGCATATTTTTTTATAATTATCAATATTTTCAAACAATTTTTATTTTAATTTAAAAATTTACCAAAATTTAAAAGACATATATAATGTATAAAACATTTTTAAGCATCCGTTTTAATTTACGTCATTGAAACCTGTCAAAGACTCCAGAGTCAAAAACCTTTCTTTTGACTAAAAAATTATCAGTGGTCTTCTAATTTTCTTTTGACAGAAATTTATGAAAAGAACTTTAAGGTTTCTCGTGCATTATTAAAATATACGGATATAATTCCTTCATTATTTCTAAAAATATTTTATCATAAATGATATAATTTAAAAATGGAAATTTTATTTAATTTTATATTACCGCATTTTATGTCAAATAATACAGCTTCTTCTGATAGCATGTGATCCTATTAGTTGCAATGGCATTCTGATATACTGCAACTTCTTCATATCCACGTGTATCAACGCTAGTGGTCCCTAGTTTCATGGAGTCAGTTAGCTTCTGTTTACAGTATAGTTTCAATTAGTTATAGATGCTGTTATAGTTAGTTGTATATCTTCCATATAGTTTTTATTCTTCTCTCCCTTCACCGTGTACTATATAAATGAACTCATGAGTTCCTGGTTCATTAAGATTCAATAATATGCATTTCACTAAAACCTTCTCTGATAAGATGGTATCAAAGCTTCTCGAGAAGCTCTGATTCTCCATTGTCTAGATCAAGCTTTTCTTCCGTTTTCTTTTTGATTTCTTGTTACTTCATCAATGGCGAATCAGAGCCTAGCCTTTGATTTTGTTTCAAATCCTTCTCACCCATACTACCTCCATCCAAGTGAAAATCCATCTCAAGTGTTAGTATCAACCTTACTTGATGGAAGAAACTACCATGTGTGGTCACGGGCCATGTCAATGGCTCTACTGTCAAAGAACAAAATTGGCTTTGTTGATGGAAGCCTACAATCACCTCCAACAATGGATCCAACATATGCTGGATGGCAACGATGCAATACCACAGTGTTGGCCTGGATTCATCACTCCATTTCTCCATCGATTCTTCAATCGATCTTATGGATAGACAAAGCAGAAGATGCTTGGAAAGACCTGAAGCAGCGTTTCTCACAAGCAGATATCTTCAAGATCTCAGACTTGCAAGAAGATATATATAAGCTGAGACAAGGAGATCGAAATATAGCTGATTATTTCACACAGTTGAAAGGTTTATGTGATGAACTGGAGAATTTGAGGCCACTGCCTGCATGTCAATGTTCTATGTCTTGCAATTGCCCTGCACTCACCGAGATCCGAGTTCGTAGGGATCAAGATCACACTATAAGGTTCTTGAAAGGTTTGAATGAGCAATATGCTCATGTCAGATCTCAGATCATGTTGATAAATCCTATGCCTGATGTAAATAAAGTCTTCTCCATGCTGGCTCAACAAGAAAGAGAATTTCATCTCAATATCTTAACTGATGATGCTTCAAAAATTTTCTTGAGCCAATCGGATGAAAACAGAAGAGGTTCCTTCCAAGGCAGAGGCAGAGATCGATCTAACTACAATGGAGGTAGAGGACAAATGCGTGAATCAAAGTATTGCACTCATTGCAAGATGAGCAATCACACTATAGAGACATGCTACTTCAAGCATGGTTTTCCCCCAGGGTACAAAAAGAGAATGGCAAATTGTGCTATGATAACAGAGAATGAGGATCAAGTCACTGATATGCAGAATGTCACTATGTCTTCCAAGCAATTTCATGATCTAATGCAGACAATTCAATGCTTCAAGGATTCGGCCAACATTTCTACTCATTTGAACTCTCCACCAAACCTTACACCACACACAGAACCTAGCCATCTCAATCTTGTGTCCACTTCAGCACTAAATGCTACCACCAATAATTCTGACTCAGGTAATCAGTTGCACTGGATCATCGATACTGGTGCAACTGATCACATAACATCCTCTATTTCAAACCTTGTTTCCTTTCATAAAATTCATCCTGTGTCTATCAATTTGCCAAATGGCTCCAAAGTTGTTTCTTGTTTTGCAGGAAATATTCATTTTTCTGCTGATTTTATATTACATGATGTGTTATATGTGCCTGAATTTTTTGTCAATTTGATTTCAGTTACGAAATTGATTTCCACTTTACATTGTTATATCATTTTTTCTAATTTTTCTTGTATTATTAAACAGATCCATACCAAGAAGGAGATTGGTATAGCTGAACAACATGGAAACTTGTTTGTCTTGGTCGATCCTCCTCATACCACAGCATCAAATAATACAGAAAGGAGTTCTACTCCTCATAAACCAGCATGCCATTCCATTAGTTGCAAAACCGATAACCATCTACTTTGGCATCTTAGACTAGGTCACATTTCCTCCACTGCCTTAAAACAAATGTCTATAAAATTTCCCTTTATTCCTTCTACAGTTGTATCCCCATGTGATGTATGCCATTTTGCTAGGCAACGCAAATTGCCATTTCCTGTAAGCACCTCTAAATCGAATAAATGTTTTGATCTTTTGCATATGGATATTTGGGGCCCTACACAACAAGTTTCTGTACATGGCCATAGATATTTTCTTTCTATTGTTGATGACCATTCTAGATATACATGGGTAATTTTTCTTAAATCTAAATCAGAAGCCAGATCTGCCATACAAAATTTTATTGTCTTTCATGAAAAACAATTTGATACTCATATCAAATGCATTCGAAGTGATAATGGTGCTGAGTTTCTTATGCACGAATTCTTTAAAACCAAAGGGATTTTTCATCACACTACTTGTGTTGAGACTCCTGAACAAAATGGCATAGTGGAAAGAAAACATCAACATATCATGAACATAGCTAGAGCATTGTCTTTTCAATCTAATGTTCCAAAACCATACTGGTGTTATATTATTGCTCATTCTGTTCATCTTATCAATAGACTTTGTACCCCACTCCTTGCATCCAACACCCCATATGAGATTCTACACTGTAAATCACCTACCCTCATTGAATTAAAAACATTTGGTTGTCTGTGCTATGCATCTACATTACATTCTCATCGCACAAAATTTGAAGCCCGAGCCCAAAAATGCATTTTCCTTGGATATCAGGAAGGAACCAAAGGATATCTTCTCCTTGAGCTGACTTCCCAAAAATTATTTTTATCACGAAATGTCCAATTCTATGAACTGGTTTTTCCTTATACACAGTCCTCCTCTGTCCATAACCATCATTCTCCTATACTGCCATGTGCTTATTCTCCCATTTTTGATGATTTCCTTCCATTCAATCATGTCCCTCATATCCTTCCCATTCCAACTACACAACCATCATCTTCTGCTACTACACAACCATTACCTTTAGTTTCTAACAATGATGCTGCTACTCACCTTCGTCGATCTTCCAGGACAAAGAAGCATCCAAATTATCTTTTGGACTATCACTGCAATCATGTTGTCTCAGCTATACAATCTCCTTCAGGTATTCCCTATCCCTTGTCCAATGTTCTGTCATATGATAAATGCTCTCCTTCTTATAAACGTTTCTGTTCTAACATCACTACCATCACTGAACCCAAATCTTATACTGAGGCCTCCAAATTTAAATGTTGGCAAGATGCTATGGATGCAGAATTATCTGCATTAGACATGAATCACACTTGGAAGCTAGTACCACTACCCCCTGGTAAACATACAGTTGGTTGTAAATGGGTATACAAGGTAAAACATAAGGCTGATGGCACAATTGAGAGATGTAAGGCAAGATTAGTTGCCAAAGGCTACACCCAATTGGAAGGGGTAGATTACTTTGACACTTTTAGTCCTGTTGCCAAGATGACTACTATCCGCACCATCTCCATTGCAGCTGCTAAGAATTGGATCCTTGAACAATTAGATGTCAACAATGCATTCTTGCATGGTGACTTAAATGAGGAGGTGTTCATGGCTTTACCTCCTGGCATTAAGGCACCTTCAGGAACTGTTTGCCACCTTCATAAGTCGCTCTATGGCCTCAAGCAAGCTAGTAGGCAATGGCATTCCAAATTGACTACTTCCTTGCTCTCTCTTGGCTACTCCCAATCTGTTGCTGATCCTTCCTTGTTTATTCGTCGTCAGGTTGATAGCTTCACTGCTCTTCTAATTTATGTAGATGACATTGTTCTGGGAGGTGATAGTGCTACTGAAATTCAACGGGTCAAGTCTGCTTTAGACACTCAATTTCGCATCAAAAACTTGGGTTCTCTGCGATTCTTCTTAGGACTGGAAATTGCACGCAACAAGTCTGGGATTGCTGTGAATCAGCGAAAGTATGCGTTGGAGATTTTGTCTGACTCTGGTCTTCTTGCTGCTAAGCCTTCCTCCACTCCAATGATCCCTTCTACCCGTCTCTCTCGCACTGCTGGTACTCCACTGTCTGAATCAGATGCTTCTT